CTGGAGTGTGAGCGGCTAGAGCATCCCCATCACAGCTGCTCCCGAGACCTGACACCACCCGACCTTGCCAGTTCTTCAAACTTGCAAGGATCCTTCCAAGGACCCCGGATCATCCCTTCTGCAAACAGTTCGCCTCCTGGCAGTGGAGGTGCCGCGTGGAGACTGGAGGCCAGGAATGGACTGAGGAGACGAGAGGCAACGATAGGCTGCGAGAAGACACATTCAGGCTTCGGTCGTCAACTACGCATCAGGATCCGAGATGCATGTATCTGGCGTAGGTCGTGCGACTATATGTCTTCAAATCATTCAAAAACTCATACCAGGAAACGGTGAATCGATAATCAGTCACCCGATCACAACTTCCCAGATTTAATCGCGATAGTTAGTTGGACTGTTTGGGTCCGAGAACCGTACACTCGTACACATCATGCTAACTAACCTGAGAACACGGCCAATCAAGCGAAGGAACATACAGGTCAAACAGCGCGAGACTAGACGGAAATTGCAAACGAGACTGCCAGCTCAATCCCTTGCAAGCCATGCAAACCTTGCCCAAACTGTCCTCACGACTCCACTCCAACCTGTACTGAAACCTGAAGACCTTGCGCAGCATAAACCCTTAACCCCAAACCTGACACGCGGAACCCTCCACTCCACATACTGGGCCTGAAACCGAAACTCAAAACCCCAAACTTTTGTCCGACTGTTCCTGGGGGCCCAGCCGCAAACCAGCGCCAACACAAGGGACTGTGAATGGCCTCTGTGCTTCGGATTCTGGGCGTAGCTGTTTAACCATGGACCGTTCATTCAAACCCAATCTGCAAGAAACACATGCTCGCCAATATGCGGGAATTATGGAATTAGGTAGTTTCGCGGAAACCGACTATAAAAACCGAACTCCAACCCCGGGCCTGCTGGAGACCTTGTCTGGTAGCCATGGCTCGGCGAGAACTGGCGCCACAACGGACGCTACGACTTTCCGCACTGAAACGCAGACTCCTACCACGTGTGCAGTTGGTCTCAAACATGCCCGAACACCAATCTTCGGCGAGCGCAACATCCATTCCTTGCGTCTTGTGCTCATGTGTCTATGTGAATCTGCAGAGGAAGTGACAAAGACGGCACGCGGGGAACGTCGCATCGTTCAGCAGGCAACGGGCGTCTGATGTATCAGGCCAAAGTGTACCAAGTCGTTGTGTCTTCTAACTGCATATCTATTTGTGCAGGTGCGTAAATGTAAACCCGTGTCCGTGTGTGTATTTGTGTACATGCTTGCAAAAGTGTGCGTGTGTGTGTGTGCAAATATGTTATGCATATGTGCATCTATCTGCATATTATATCGATATAGAAACCTGCACCGTGGTACATATGTACATATGCACGCCAACAATATTGCCTGCAAGTATGCACGCATGCATGTATGGTTATGTAGAAATACATACTCGTACATGTATGTATACATGAATAATAAGTATGTCCATATGTATATGTTTCAGCATGCATGCACAAATGCTTTTATGCGTATGTATGCATGCATGCATGCATGTACATTTCCTACGTACGTACGTACGTACGTACGTACGTACGTATGTACGTATATGTACGTATTTATGTATGTGTGTGTGTGCATGTAGGTAAATATGTATGTATGTATGTATGTATGTATGTGTGTGTGTGTTTGTATGTGTGCATGTTATCTGTGCATATGAAACATATATGACGGTAAATGCGGTTACACGTATGGCTGTGTGTATACGTGTCTGCATGTATATGTGGCAGTACGTACATACATGCATTGCATACATATATGCATACGTACATACGTACATACATACATACGTACATACATACATACACTGCATACATACATACATATTTACATACTTACATATAGCTGTGTGTGTACCGATCTATATATGTATATGTCTGTCTGTCTGTCTGTCTGTCTGTCTGTCTGTCTGTCTGTGTGTCTGTCTGTCTGTCTGTATGTATGTATGTATGTATGTATGCATGTGTGTATGCGTGCGTATCTATGTTTATGTCTATATGTATATATGTATATATATGTACATGTATGTGCGTGTACGTGTGTGAGCGTGTATGTGCACATATCGGTGTAGACATAGATGTAAATCATTTAAAAAATGCATAGATATGTGAACCAAAGAATCCTTGTACAGATGTAGTTTCATGCCTTCATGTATATCTGATATGTCTTTCCAGCACTACAACTTCTCGACGTCTGGATTCAAGGACGCGACCCGACCAACTCGCAGCCCGCGGTACATTGATCGCATGTCGTTGTCAATCCTTTGCAACATACATGATCTCATGACAAATCCTCTGGACGGCCGCCCTTTTTCCAACCATTTCGCGAGGACAGCCGCCGTGCCAAATCCGGCAGAAGGCATGACCGCAACAACCTGCCGGAATGGAGTTCGACAACGAAACTGCTTGCACAGGGTTTGGATTCATAGCAAAATTAAAATGCTTGTCCTGGTGCCACTACTTCTACGGACAGCGAACTTGCGTCACAAGAGCTAACCCCAGTACCCGAGCCGATGCAGAAAAACGCATCGCATTTCCTTAACCTGCCATGCTGGCTGAAAGATGACGAGCTTGCACGAACCCTCAGAAATATGCTAGCAGTAGCCTGGGGCGGGCTTAGTGAGTGCTTCTAGTGAAGCTACAGTGCAATCACTGCACAAGAAACGACTGGATAAGAAATGTAGGGGCTGCGTCAGCCGGTTTGCGCCAAAAAACCCAAAACTTAAAACGCCTTCTTGCTAAGAAAAGAAGGGTGCCCAGTGCCCAACATAGCGAAGATCAATGCGTTCGGGTTGGGAACAGTGTGAAAGCCATGACGTAGCAGACGCGACTCAGGGGGCCTGTCACGCGGCAGGAAAACTGCTACACTGCACGAAAGCGACACAGATTTCAATGTTTACGCCCAGACACGTTGGGAAGACGGGAGGCGCTATGGCAGGTGCGGCCTTGGATAGTAAAGGGATCGCTCAATGAAGGGTTTCGGTGAATATTGCAATGTATTGAACATTAGAGACATCTATTACGCGCAACATGTAGTTCGGTCGAGGATCTACCTGCTGCAGCCAGATGTTGCCGAACTGGTCCTTAGTAGAACAAGCCGAAAATTGACGGCGGTTTAGTCGTGCTGTGACACGACGAATGCAAAAAGAAAAAAATCACGTGAACTTGAGTCGAGATTCGGCCACAGCTGGCAATTGCAGCAGCTGCTGCTGCTGTAGCAGCTGCTGCAGTTGCTGTTGCTGCTGCAGCGTCTGCATCTGCATTAAGATGCTCTCGACGAAACCTGCCGCCAGCATCGAATTCTTGAGCTGTTGTTTCAGGGATTGTGGCTAAAGGTTGCACTTGTTGGGTAGCGTTTTTGGAACCAAGGCATGGAGTTTTAAGGTTTCCTATGGGCTTGGTTGGCAAAGCCTGGTCATTGTCTGAGGCAGGGGCCACGTTGGGCTTGAGCTGCGTGCTCTCCACCCAATCTCCTGATTGAAGTGCTCTCGGCAACTCTCGAGTGGGCATACTATCGCAGAAGTGGCACTCATGAACGCGACGGCTACTGCTGCCGTGAAGAATGGAGCTGCGCTTTTTGGAGTACGCAAGCCCGCAATGCCCATGCTGAAGATAATGTTGACATCATATCTAGAATCTAGACCCCCCCCCAATCTGACAAACTCCAACTCGTAGAACGTAGTGGATCGTACCGTGAACCCGACAACACTCCACGCCCTCGCACGGGGTCAACAAATCATCTCCTGCACGCGCTGTCGTGGCTCGTGCGGCCTGGGTAGACTCAAGTGCATCGGGCTGGTAAAGCGCCATGATGCTTGACCCTCAAGCCTCTTGGCACCCGGTTCATTCGAAGCGTCTTACGCTCTTGAAGTGGCTTTGGTCGCGCGCCTGTCCTCTCGCCAAGGCTGAAGATTCTCGAGCAAAAGCTTGTGAAAGAGAGGGAGCGCTCCCCCCCAACGTCCCCCTCTTTAAATCTGGGACTGCAACCTGGACTGCGCGGCACAATCCTTTAAACAAGTCAGCCCTATGGTCGTGTCTGTATGCTTTCGCATCCGCGACTTTCCCTCTCGATCTACTTGATCTCAGCATTCGTGCCCTAACTCTTCATCGGACAGCACTCGCCAGAGCCCGCCGTGAGACGCTAGAGCGGGTCACCAGTCCGTTAACAAGCCCAAAGCTACACAAGAGCCTACAAACCGCACATCCCAAACATTCGGAAACACTACAAGTAGGAAGCTGCCAGCCCGAACAGGTGCAGCGATTTTGCCGCATTTTGCCGCTATCATCAACCATGAACCACCTCCTCGTGCTTGCAGCACTGTACAGCAGAGTGGCTCCCGACGTCGTTGGCGAAATCCAGCTTGGCGACACTGGGTTCCTCAGCTTGACCTGCCACGGCACGGCACCGAAGGTCCCCTATTTTCGGACCCAACCTCGCTTTGGGCTTTATTGTTGGCTTCAAGGGGGTAGCAAGTCTTGCTGTCGAATTCATCATCTCATCATCAGAGTTGCTTTACGACAAAACACCAGGGCTTCGCTGCTCTACCGAGTTTCCGGCTCTGAGTTGACTTTGGGCCCCTCAAGATGCCCGGCAGACCGCTCAAAACAAGACGTGCCTGAGTCAAACAGCGGGCTCAGCAGCCCTGCCCAGGATCAACTTGAGCCAAACCAGCCTGGTTCTGCGATGCTGCGCGAAGGCTTGACACATCTCATTCGTTCTGTCGTGCTGTTGCAGTACTTCAGAGCCACGTCTCTTAATACTCGTAGACTGCAGCCCGAAGAGCCAATGCAATGTATTATGTTCACATGGCTCACATCAGCTCACGTAGACACTGTCGAGGGTTTCCGGCACTTGCGATGATACTGGCAGAATGCACTCTTGCGTGGAGGGGTCCATACTACACCCTCCAGTTCTGAGTTCTGAGCCCTTACGCGCATGATTGACTCCTTTCTCATGCGGGAGCCTCACCAGTGTCTCCCGCGGCCAGGCTCAGTGCACGAACTTTGCCGAGCACCTCCCACAGCTGCAAATCTTGGCATCCATCCCAAGCCCACCGGTGTCAGGAACCCTTATCTTCCTGCCTCCTTGGCCATGCGCCGCACCTGTTCTTTGACGACTTGTGCAATCGTATAAATGCACAACATGCAGCATTCACGGCAAAAACAATCCTGCATCCTGCTTGCCATGGCTTGGTAAGAGGGGCCTCTGGCACGGAATCACCGAGGCAAGTCGCGATGTTGCCGACGTAGGGCCTCCAGCAATATGGCTCATTAGCTTCGGGAATGTCTGGGCCACAGCGGTCCCTTTTGGGAACGCGTTCCGAAAGCATCTCTCCGAGGCTCAGCCCCCGTGCTCACAAGGCGCAGGCACAGCGGCGTTGCCGACTTTGCCGAGCGCCTGGCCAATCTCCGACGAAAAGCCAACTGAAAGAGCACCCCGAGCTTACGTAAGACTTTGCGGCTCGACAGCACTCTTGGCTTGGGCGTAAGTTAAGGCCAAGACGTGACGCGCCTCCGAGCACCACGATAACGATGGCTGAATGGACGAGGGGTGGAGGGACGATGAGCATGAGGAGGACGAGGACAACAACAACGACGAAGATGATGATGACGAGGACGATGATGATCATGACGATGTTGATGACATGAACCTGGTCACGAAAAGATAATGCGGCTAGTGTTGCTGCTGCTGATGATGACGATGATGATGATGACGAGAAAAGCCTGAACCTGGCAATCGAAGGTTCCGAAGAGACGTGACGCCACATAGCCGTGGAGGACGCCACTCTTCTAAGGTTCTGCTTCCAGAAGTGAAAGTGCCAGGTGCTCAGGCCGACATGAGAGGTTGAAACGACGGCCCCCAGGCTGCATCATGGCTGCCTGCACCGCATTGCCACGCACGTACCTGCGCTTCATCTTGCCCACTGTCGTCTTGCCCTCATAAGCCGAGCTTCCCATGCTTGGAGTCATGAGCCGGGCGCCACACCAGTCGTCGTCACCCAAGGCAGCAGCCAGGTCGGCCGCGTAGGGCGAAGCAAGGTCTCCTGAAGTGTAGCAGGCCGAAGGTCGCAACGCTCGAGAACCCTCTCGTCGGCACTGAAAGCTATTCCCGACAAAGCCGGCACCTGGCCTAGCTCGAGAAGGGCCTGCGACCCGGCATGGCGAACACGGAAATCCTGCGGGCATCCATCAGCAGGAAATAGCGTGGCATAGCGTGGCCCACACGGTGATGAAGCGAAGCAAAGTCTTCTGGTTGGGGGGAGAAGCGAGAAGTCGGGGAGAAGCCTCAGTTCTCTTGTCATTTGGAGTGCACTTGTGTCTCTCTCGAAAATCAGATAAACCCTGAAGTGCGGAACTCCACGGTCCTCACCCTTCAAGGCCTTCACGAAGTGGTCCACGTATTTTGCCTAGGCCAAGCCATCCCTCATCTCTCTGACTTGCCCCGCAAGAAGGTTACCACTGTGCCGCGCAGCAGAGATATCGAGAAACCAACTGAGCCGTGGAAGCATAGCAAGTGGGATGCAACGACATCCGGATCGAACTTGGATTCGAGCCGACGCTTCGCGACCACGGCCACGGACCTCCGGCACCAAGGCCCAATCTGGACAACTGCCAAGCAAAGGCCACGCGAATGCCTTCAAATGATGCGACAATCCCAAACAGCATTAACCTCACCCCCGCGGTCCCGTAAAAGCCAGGTCGCAGGCCACTTGCTTTAAAACCGCCGAGCGAGTCAGAGGATTTGGACTGGCATGGAAAACACTCCAATCATAACACGTGAGGGCGCGGGAAGCAACAGGAACCAGCCGGGGGCGCAACGGAAACCATTTCTGGGGCTCGTAACGGGAACGAGGGCTAGTAGAAACAGGAACTGTGCCGGGAGGCTTTCCAAGCAGCCGAAACTATGGTGGAACTCTTGCGTGGGGGACCGCTTTTAGGTTCCCTACTTTGACACCATGACAGCTGTATGCTGACGCCTATGTTTCGTTCGAGGCATATAGAGTTTGGGTTGAAACGGATTCACGGTTTGGGGTATCAGATGCCAGTTTCAATACAATCCTTGTCTCGGAATCCACAAGTTGTTTCTTCATATATTTTTTTGTGGAAGGAGTATGGATGTTTTATCTTACAAGACGGTTCGTACTAATGCAAGATAATGTAAGTCGAAGCTGTCGTACCACGAGTACTACCACTATTGGTAGCGGGCTAGGCTTCCGCACGCCATCGTGGACTGACCAGCACCAGCTTGGCTTGTTTTCTGGGTCGAGGGTGTTTTTGGCCTCCCGCCTGGCTAGGACGAACCTTGAGGGTTTAGGCTCTTCGGGTTGCAGGACGTTGCAGCTGCCGAGGAGGTAGTTTAGAGATTTAGGGCTTCAGTGTTTTAGGGGTTTAGGGTTGACGGGTCAGGTTCAAGGTCTCAGGCATTTGCCAGTCGAGAACGGCGTTAATCGCTCGAGAACGGCTTTAGAGCTCCAGACAGCTTTGGGGTTTTGGGGTCTCGGTCAGCTCTTAGCACCAGAAGTGGGACGAAGAAAGAAGTGACGAGACTACACACGGGAGCCTTCATCATGCAATCGTGCACACAAGTCACGAAATTTGTAGTTTCACTCGCAGCAGAAACGTGCAATGCTATATTATTCTGGAGCGTTGATGGCAACACCGATGCTGTAGCCATCGGAAATTCAGGACAACGGTTACTGTGGACATATGAGGTCAGTTTCTAGTGCTACATGACATGACATTTTGAAGCCATACAAGTGGGGGGACCCGAAAGCAGTCCCTGACTTGGCGAGCCCACAAGAGCAGGTGGATGTGAAACAAGTCATTCTTGGAGCCCCGCACGTGGTTCCTGTTATGGGGGGTGGCCTGGGGGGTGTGACAGGAACTGGTGGTTGCTGTTACGGGATGGGTCCTCGTTCCTGATGCAGGTTCCCGTTACGGACATTCTGTTCCCGTTACGGCAAACACTCCTCCAGTGAAGCAGACTCAGCACTCAAATGTGCCAGCTGGGCTCGTTTAGGTAATCCTCCACGCTGCCAAACTGGGCAATGACCTTGCAGGCTCGTCCAACACCTAAGATAATCAATGTTCACCTTTCTGACAGATGCCGGCACGAACGCGCCTTGCTTGCCGCCTCGACTATTTTCATGTTCGCATCCCCCAGCAGTGGCCTCGGCATCAGACTTGACTTGTACCATAACCCTCCGCCCGACATGTATCGAAGAGAATGCTCCTGTCCGGTGCTTGGGCAGACACCATGTGCGCACGCTGGCTCCGGATCTACAATGCAAACTCTGCCCGTCTGCTACACATGAAATGCTGCATACCGGAAGTACATCTAGTTTTGAGTCTTTGCGATTCTCAAGTGGACTCGGACAGAGCGTGACAGCACTCCACAACACAAGATTTTGGCTCCGCTAGACGTACGTGTGCCACCACCTGGTACTGAATTGGTCGCCTTTCGTAAAGCTCCCCGAACCCTCACCGCAAGCCCCGAACCCTATAACGCTAGATTCGCTGAATACCGTCACTGACTCCTCGGGGACCTGGCGCCACGTCGTGGGCCAACGGCGCCGCGAGGTGGCCGATGCCCGCCACGGCCGCCAAAACGGAGAGGCGGACTCGCAAGGTTAGTACTGGGCTTTGGACGCTGCTCGCTATGTTGGTGTCCAGTATGGACCAGCTGTGTCGGCATGTGCATGCATGCACACATCAAGAAATGTAGCACTATCCCCTTTGTAGCAAAGAACACTGCAAATGAGGAGCAGTGATGTTCAGCGCCCGCCATCCGTCGCGGACGTTCGACCATTTCTCGCGGATCAACAAGCTCAGAATCCCTGCCTCCATCAGAGCTGCTTTGTAGCTCGTCCCATCGCGTGTCCACGAGGCGACGTGCCTGAGGTGGGGCCCAGGATTCTCCCAAGCTTTCGAGTCACCAAGTCTGGGACTTCGATCAATTCAAGTCATGGCCAGGCCCCCCGGCGTATTCGCGCCTCGCCGCTTCAATCGCGCCTTTGTGCACCCGACGCCTCAGGCACCGTTGTGAGGTCCGGTCGAATATACTTCGCACGTAAGACTTGGCTTCAGGTAGTCTGAGCTCGCCAGCGCAGCATCGCCCGATTTCTGAAGCTCCATGACACCCTGGGCATGGCAGGGAGGATCTTCGGCAGCTAACTTGGCTTCAGACCTGGTCTTGGGGACCACTGAACTCTGCAGTGTGGCACTAAGCCAACAGGAAGTGGACTGCTTCCCGTGCAGGACTATATGCAGACGGAGAAGCACATGGCCTTCTACATTATGCATCACACGTAGCCTGAATGCGTCCCGTGCCTGGACGCGTTGCTGGTCATCGGTGCCTTCGTCAAGGACAGTCTGTTGCAGCGCAGAGTTTTTGGGAGGTTTGCGGTAGCGGATTTTGGTATCCAGGCAGGTTCAGCTTTGGCTTGCACCTTGTGTCAGGAGCCGCATGCCTTCTCTTTACGGCACATCGGCTCGCAAAAAGACTGCTCGTCCATCCATCCGTTGAAGTGGTCATTCAAAACATGCGTCGGTGCCATCCAAATCTTTGACGGTCTATCTGTGTAGTCTTCGCGTTCCTCGATGTCTCCGTATCTAGACAGCGGCCTGGGCGTTATTGCAGGTGCCAGTTCGTAGGTACCGGACAGGTGCTCTAACCACGACATACATCATTGATCCGTGCAGAACATCAGAGCCTTGGCATCGAAACAAAAATTTACCAAATCGTGGCCGAAGGGCTGAAGAGGTCGAGGACGTGTCGCGCTCCAAGTGCAGCATCAGGGTCTCAGTGGTCTTTGGGTTCTTGCTTAGTCTCTGCCAAAGCAGCCTCTGCTCCCTGTCTCGGACACTTCAAAAAGCTGAGCCTCCGCCTGCAAGGTCCGTAATTGGAGAAACCATGTTGATAACGGAAAGGATCGGAAATGGTGTTGTCTTACAGCATTGGTCGGCATTCGCATGCCTCCAACTCACAGAGACAATCTTCATGGCGACTGAGGCGAGTGCTGGCCTTTCCAGATAGCCTCGGTCAAACGGGCCCTTGTGCCAAGCCTGTGACGTGTTCGGGCAGCCGAGGATACGCTCCACCCCACAAGTGTCTTTACACTCTAGACTCTAGACTCTAGACATCCTAGCATTCTGTCAACAGCCCTGAGACCCTAACATGAAAAAGCAAAGTCACGGCAGCATCAGCGACCCACAAGCTTCTCTTCTTGAACTTCTGCGACTTCCGAACTACTCTCGCCACGCACACTATCTTCTATGATTATGGGGAAATAGAAACAATCGTAGACACCCCTGCGATCTCCTTTGTGCCAAGACATGTCCGACAGATATCAAGCATCGAATCCGAAGATTCGATGTAAGGCCCTTGAGCCCCTGAGGCTCTGGCAGCAGCTGTGCTACCTGGCATCGGAATGCTGTAGGTTATAACCCGTCCGGCACTGCAACCTTCGCTTCAATGGCACAGCCGACGCGCCTGCCTGTTCAACATGAAAGACTCCCCCTGGCTACGACGCTGCTGTGGGAGCTATGTTGGGATCCCTAAGAACCCAGGTCGCTTCCTTCGCTTTCACTTTCACCTTTCACCGTTCACCCATAAACGACTCGGAAGCCCCTCGTAGCCTCGCCGTCCTCGCCGGCTGCTGCCACGGCCTCGACTACTGCAATGCTTCAGTGCACGGCCAATGCATCACGAGCGTCTTGGAAACGTGCTCGGAAATGTGTCACACAGCCCGGAAGACGCCGTAGAGTCATGCAACATTTGGTCACAGGAGCCGGGCATAGGTAAGGGGGTGAATGCCGACACCATCCACCGAGTTGGGATTGGCACCTCAGATCTGGGATCAGCAAGATCGAGTGGCAAAATCCTCTGCTACGAGTTCTTCGTTGGCCGCAGACGCAGGGAGAGCGCGTGCCGCACCAAAGGAGCCTCAGCCGATGCAGACGCGGAGCGGAGAAACTGGGTCTGCTGCAGAGGATCAAGGATCAGAATCAGCGCTTCAGGGTTTCACAGGTTTTGGATTATAAATGTAGGTCCAGGGTTTAGCAGCAGCAGCAGCTGGCCCCTCCGCAAAATCTGCACAGTGGGACCAAGCTTTACCAGGACCCTCTGAGACGAAGGCTGAGCCGTTCTGAACCAAAATGGCTAAGCTCTGACCTCAGAGGCTGTAGAGGCTCCCGGGTGCCGGAGATGGCAATGCTCGCGGGGCAAGGCCCTACAGGGAATCTGGCAAACGGACTGACCTTTCAAATCTAGGTCTTTTTTTGCCTTCCTGGAAATATGCTGTTCGCGGCTGCACAACCCATGCGACGGCAACAGCTGCTCCCTTCAGCACGCCTCACCACACTGTCTGTGTCTTCACTCTTAACCCCTTAACCTGCAGCTGGAATGGTGGGGGCGTGCTTTGCAATCTCGCTCCTGTGGCGACTGGCATCTAGAAAAGCTCGCTTGAAAACCACGAGGGCTCCTCGAAGAGGCTCAGATTCGCTCTGCGGGGGAGGGGAAAATAGGAGAGGGGCCCGATGGGTGCTTGGAAGAGGCTCCTAAGGTCGGAAGGGAGGGGAGAGGGTGCCCCATGTGCTGGGCCTTGTGGGGCCCCAGTGGTAATTCAGGCAGTGGACATCGAGGATTCGTCCACGAAGCCGCCTAGAGTAACACAGACACTTTCACAGAGTGTCAACATGAATTCAGGCAAAATCCGCTTCTCACGGAAACTCAGTCATCAAGAGAGAATGCCTGGCCGGCTCGCTTAAAGGCTTAATCCCTGACGCCTCTCAATCCTACATGCCCTGGAGTCAATTCCCTGTCACATGGAGGCTGGTGCAGTGGCAGCAGTCATGTGCATGTTTAGGATGCACGGTGCGAGCCTTAAACTCTGGAAGGGGATGAGGCCATCAACAACACAGTGCTGCACAGGTCCACTGCTCGCAGCACAAGAACAACACACAATGAACTTCGACCCGTGGTGCTCCGAAATCCGTCTCGTCCAGGGCTTGCAGGAATGCGATGTCCAGGTCCAGGTCAAAGGCACCAAACCCTGCCCGAACTCAACAAAGCCCTGACTGAGTCTCCCCAACAAGCTGTCACGGAGGATGCACAGCGTCGGATGCAACGCCAGACATGGTTCTTTCAAAGAGGACAAGGCCTCCACGCCGAGGCCGGGTGCCCTGGCGGAAGCCTGAGCTGGGGTGGAAAGACAGCAGAAGCAAAAGACCCAATGGGCTCTGGGACTCTCTGCGCATTGACCTGTCAACTCCGTGGTCGAAGCAGTACACGCTCTCAGAATTAGAAGAACTACTTTCGTAGCGGCATTGTGCCAGGTCAGCTTGTATTGCTCTACTGTTGGAGTTGGCTCTTGAGCATCTCATTACGAACCCCTTCGACATGATCCGCTCCAGCTCCGGCCCCACATACCACCAGTTCAGCTGGAAAGCGCAATGGGTTGGACAGCAGCTCCATCGGTGGCGGCTGAGGCCTTGCAGAGCATGCCGGGTCAGACGGCGTGCTGGGGGACTATGCCACTTTCAAGGCAACGCTCCCGCACCAACTGCAAAACGACAAGGCTAGCAAGGAAGCGACCAGGCATTTCTGATTCCTCCACCCAAGCTGGCGACCCTTAATCTTCGACAAGAATGCCTCCTCCCACTACTGGGTCCCAGACGAGTCCAACAGTGTCAGGAGCTCCAGAATGGCCTTCCGGCGCTCCTGGCGCTGATCGAAGACTCTTTAGATCAAAAGTGGGTGCAGCAAGGGGACATGTGTTGTTTTGTAGATGCCTGGGCAAGTCTTCTTCGAACAAAAGGAAACAGCTCACTGGCCCTGTGCCATACACACTTTCAGAATTACCGCGGTTTGCACGCGCCCCTCTAATCTAAGAATAACTTCGAATCCCCTGCCCGACCCAAGTTGGAAGCGGGGTGCAGTGCTGTGCCTTGCCCCGGCTCCGACTCAATGCAACAGCTCTGTGTGAATGACACGTCCTCCACCACTCGGTGGCGGGCTTCGTGATCGCTGCCAAACTCGGTGTCAAGCTGCCTCATTTTACGGCAGCCCTGGAAGCCATTAAACCGTCGATTAAGAGACCTTGTGATGTGCACATCCGCATTTTTGCCAGCCAAAGGTGCTTGCGGATTCGGTCCAGCAAGCGCTCCACCTGCCGCGAGAGCTGAGAAAAAGCGAAAACCATAAGAGAGTGCAGGATGTCATACAATTTCGCACAATTGCCAGAGCATATCATGCATTCACGTCGGGTACTGTCTCCCACCGCGGCGCCTTCTCACTGGGGGCCCGATACTCTCGCTCCTGCACGAGAAGGCAGGCACTTGCAAAAAAAACTGACTCTAGTGAGAGTCGCTCCTCCTTGTGGCCATGGACCTGAAAGCTGACCTTCCAGATCCCGGGGGTCTGCTTGTCCACACGCACCGGCGGATAGGTGGCACAAAGCACCAGGGGAAGGATGCCAGTGGGGACCACGGAGCACTTCGTGCAGAAGTAGGACATGGACTTCCGCTTCTGATCCATGCAGGGCAAGACCTGAATCAGAAACACAAGAAGCACGTCTATCCAGTCTATTCTTTTACACTTCACGCTCCCATGGGCCCCCCAAAAACGTCACCTTGCACACTGGCAAGGCTGTCCGCTGGCGCACCTCTGCGGCCACCACTGTGGCATCCTCTGTGGGCGGCAGCTGCGCAAGGGAACTGTTGACGATCCGCACCGGCGCATCCTGGCAGCAGATGCAGATGCAGCAGCTCATTGGCACAGAGTGTTCACAGACGACCACTCCTCGTAGCACTTCCTTGGCTGGATCGTCGTGCGAGCGTTTGGCCGACCCCAGGAGTCCTGAAAACAAAAGGCCGACACAAGGGAATCCCGGGACCTTCCAATGACAGAAATCCCATGTCCAATGGCCGAGCAGCTGCACCCTGGAAGGGCACGAAGTTGTTGTTCACCAGGGCCGCCTCCTGGTAGGCCCGATGAGCTTCCTCTGCGTTGCTGAAGGTGATCTCCACGTCTCCCTTCTTGAGGATCCGGTGGTTCTGAACGCGGAAGCCGCACTGGCGCAGGTAGGGAAGAATCAGATCTTGTCGATTGCGCTTCGAGCGGTACTTCAGCTGTTCCGTGCTCGAGCCGTTCCTGGCAAAAGCGAGAAGAGTACAAAGAGGGAGGGGAGAGGGAAAGGAGAGCGCGCCGAAGAAGCAGAGACACAGGAAGAGATGGGAAGAAAGAGCGAGAGGTAGGGAGCTGCGCCCTCCAACAGACTTCCATGTGGAGGTGTTGGTCGGCAAGAACGGCAACTATAACAGTTCCCGAAGCCTTCACATTTACTTTTGCTGTAGAGAAACCGGGATCCTTATCAGCACGAGCGTCGTGATTTCCACAATTCCGGCAGTGAAGGAGGCAGCGATACACCAGGACAGGAGCAGTTCGGTGTCTCTGTGCAGGGGCTCATAATTGAGGAGCTTGCGGATGTCCTGTGCCGAGAACTCTGCCGTACCCAGCCCGAAGTCAGCAACAGCAACAACCCTCGGGCGGTATGCAGTGATGCCCAAGGCTGCAAGTGCATCATCGGATTCCTGCCTAGAATGCAACGAACACGTACGGCCATGACGAGGAGTTACTACTGCAATTTTGGTTTTCGACCGAAACATGCCACGGAAGCCTTGCCTCGGCAGCGCATGAGCATGTGTGCTCCAAGTTTAAGTTAAGAAACAACGCGAAAGTTTCTAGATAGATTCACGCGAGACTTCTGAGTCCAACATGGCTCTCCGAGTCCGAGTCCTGATCGTGGTGTGTCTACTCTAAACTGGTATCACAAGCCCAAGTTGCCTCGCCAGGATATGTCGCAGGATGGCTGCGGTCGACCTTCACCTCCGAGCTTGAGGCTTGGAGTTTCGCGCCTGGTTCTTATTGACTCGTGTATGCCATACAGGCCAAGTGGCAGCAAGCTTCTCTTGCCGTCGTCTGCGCATACGCTCCTTCTCCTGCGAAAAGGGGCCAGTGATCGAGAGAGAATACACGAGGCAGCAGAGCCTTAGCACAGGGTACAACCTTGCAAGCAAGCCTACAGCAAGGGCCCCCAGCCAAATCAGGACATGGTAGAAACCCGTGAGACCAAGGCCCAAACAATCCGATGGCCTGCGGCGTGAGTCCAGGTGCGTATCCCATCTCTTCCTCAGGGCACATCTCCACCAGCAGGAGGCCACGACTTCGCTTTTAGGGCAGTTGTGGGGAATATCATCCACGACCAAGACACGCAATCAAGACTTTGCCAAACCCCTCAAGGCAGATTGCAGGAAAGCTTCCAGCACATCGTGTATTTGAGTTACCATCTCTTCGATCTCGTGCAGGCGATCCAAGCTCAGGAAGTGCTGCTGGCACCAGTGTGCCTAATGCCACCATGTCGATACCGAAACATCACTGCTTGCCGGGCGAAAAGCATGGATTTTCAGAATCGAGTTGCCGGATTTCCGACGTGAACATTAAAGCGAGGGCTCGTCAAAGGATGCATGTCCTGTACGGCGTGCCTCGTGCTCCACCGACGACCAGTTCCCAGACCGCGCCAAGTGTGCCTGCCACGCTCGATACGCACCTCGTCCGAGGGAGACAGCTGAAGGCTCGCGAGAGAGCTGGACTATGAGGTACGTCAGGGTAGGCGCATGAGCTTGCATGTGCTTGCTTCCATGCATGAGCACCCGTCTTAAGAACAACGAACTCAATCGTCAAGTCAGAGAACCGACTGAACCGACGGAACCTCCCCAAGTAACCCTCTTCTCCTGCCAGGGTGCCGAGTCCAGCCATCAAGTCCCCAGGCAGCGGCCGACTACCAGAGCCGCGGCCGGGAGAGCAAGCGTCCCGGACCTGGAGCTTCACTATTGAAAGAGGTGCCGTCTTGCTCTTTTCGACACATGCCATGGCCAGAATCACTCCCGTGATCGCAATTGTGGTCAGAAGGTTGATGATGATGACGACGATGATGATGATGCTGCTGCTGCTACTGCTGCCGCTGCCGCTGCCGCTGCCGCTGCTGCCGCTGCTTGTGGTGGTGGTGGTGGTGGTGGTGGTTGCTGCTGCTGCTGGCTCCTCAAGGACCATCTTTTCGAATTAGCTCTTGGACATCAGGTATTCGAGAACCGTTGCCGGCGACAACCATTCACTGAAACCACGAAGGCTTAAGCGCAGAGATGTGCTTTGAGAAGCCAGAATGTCTCACGCCACTTGTGGGTTTGCATGCCTGCAGCACTCCAAAGAATTGAAACGGCAACAGACCCCTGCCTCGCGCAAGCTGCGGATTTCCTGCGAGGCTCCCAGCAATGCTTGCCGAAGCCCCCTGACTTTTCTGATTTCCTGGTACCCTGGAAAGCACCCTGGAACGGCTTCGACACGATGGACAAGCCGCAATGCCGCAATCTGACAGCTTCGCTTGCTATGCTAATCCGAGGTGGGCTGCTAGCTCCAGTTCCGAAGCCCGTCCTGCGGAGAGAAGTCCATGTGGTCCAGAAAGGGATCTCCCCGCTGATGCACTGCTGCCAAAATCGCGCACTCCTGCACTCCGACACCAGTTTTCAGTTTATCCTTGCCAACCCTGTGCTGTTTACAGATCCCGCCGTAAGGCGGTCCTTGACAAGTCTCAATCGAACCCCATTCATCACCAGGAGGCCCACTTCAGGATCCAAGGGCATCTTCTGCAAGAACCGCCCGAAGTACCTTGTGTCTCTGTTGCTGTTGTACTTCTGAATGTTGCTACTGCTTTCTTCGCGCTGCGCCACAGCGCCCCGCTTCATGTGTAAAGCCGCCTTCTTCCGCAACTAGGCTGCCTCTCTTGAACTGACTCTCCCTTCCCTTTTTTTCTCTCTGATGAAGTAGTAGCAACCTCCTACGTGCGAAACTTGCACACGAGGACACAACTGTCAGAATATTGCAACAGGAACTCAGCCGTGCCACGTCGGCCTTGCATTCGCACTGCCTTCCACCGCCGCAGCCTTGTCAAGTGCTTTCAGCTCCAGCAGCCTCGCAGTGACATGACAAGAGAGAGAGCACGAGGTACAGGTTCTCCGCACCAATCCTATACCGACAGCTCTTCCCTTGTGCAGATCAGAAGGCCTCGTGATCGCAGTCTCAACACGCAGCGGATCTGGTGCATCCGGCATCTGTTTCCTGGCAGTGCTGCGACGACAACTGTCTAGCCTTCCTTGCACGCAAGGCCCAAGGCTGCAAAAGCCTGAAATCATGCTGGGGTGGCAGGAACTCGCGCGGATCCCCGAGGTTCGGCAGCTCGAAGATCGTAAGCAACACATCTTCGAGACGCGAGTGCCTTGATGTCTTGGGGTCTCAACAGCATTGACGGGTGGTGGTCTTATCGCTGTCATGACCGCCAGCATCACCCGTCACCACCGTCACCATCACCATCATCACCTTCATCAACTTTTCACTCATCATCGTCATCATTCACTCTTGTCTACATAATCGCCGAACTCTGAGTCAGCGCAGCCGTCGCTGCCACCATGATCTCCTCTGCGGCGTCGCTTGCGACGTTGACTGACATTCAGATGATATGGTGCTGGGCATTAGCTCGTCCAGGCTGCTTGATCTGAGGCTCGACGTGCGGGGCCAAGCGGTCGTAGCAGCGGCGGGAAATCATTCGGATAACGATACCTCCAAGCAGAAAGTGGGAGTTGGCCTTTTGAAACAAATTGGTCAAACGCCGGCGAACCTTCCCAAGAACGAAGGACATGCTTCAAAGTCTTGTTTGATGAAGGTATGTCATTGTGCGTATCAGCTCTGGTATAATCTGGTATATGCTCGAACCATAAAGCCGAACAAGCCGCATGGACACGACTCGAACCAAGTCACCCTCCTGAATCTGATGTCCGCCACCCGGGCCTGGGCGAAGCCTGCCTGTGCGGCCTGCACGTTGCTTTGCCTCGTCCTGGCTGATCAGCAGCCTCGAAAACTGCGTATCAACATGATGTCAGGCAATGGTGTCTGAGTCTGCCTACAGTTGGCTGGACCTTGCCACTTCTCTCTGCGTCGAACCTCTTCTGCATCACGATCTACAAGAAGCTGTGGAGGGACAGTGGCAGGGAGGGAGAAACGAGGGAGTTGGAGGCGAGTATGTGAGACCGCGCGCTAATGCATAAGCATCCCTCATCATGCCTCCAGACTAAATCGAACGAATGAGCGGCATCGTGAGAAGGCTCTGCTTCTTGGACGGGTCCCAACGCAGGCGCTTGTGCTCGCAGCTGTCGATCACAAGATCAACCTCCACAGGACACGGTACCGAAAGTGCTCCCAGCAGACGCTGCTGACAGTGGAAAACAGTACAATGCGACCGGGACACGTCCGGAATGGTCACCTCAGCTGAAAGATAAAGCTTACCACGGCATGCTGATTTCGAACAATCCTGGCAAGCCCCAAATCGATGCAAGGTACGGAGGACTCGATCACGTCAGTCCCAAGAATGATAGTGCGACTCGCGCCAGCAGCTGGTTTCACCAGGGCCTTCTCCTGCGCAGAGACGCTTGACACCCCGAATCCCAAAGCCTCAACACTATGAACTATAAGCCCTAGAGGCCTTATAGTATGTAGTATACCATAGGTACTATAGGATAGGATAGTACATTAAGACCCCAAGACATAGTAACATAATACGAAGCCCTGGGTTCTCTCATTCGGGTTTGCCGACCTGAGACTCCACCGTCTGGCCACCGAAGACGCACTTGATGTCGAGCTGGGGAACTCCGACAGCCTCCAGATTCCCGTCGTCCAACTTCTCGGCCAGAAGAGAGACCTGGAGAGCAGAGTTCAGGGAGCTACAGATCTCGGCACCTGTAATTAATTCATTTCCATGATACAACAGCACTGCTCACTTATAGCCAGTATTTCTGCATCTCTCATGCAGCAGCACACTGCTCTCTCTTGCGACCAGACCTCGCGCTTCCCCGGCAGAAAGACCAGGAAGGACTCCAGCTGACCATCCTCTCGCGGCCGGCGCGTGCGGTGCAGCTCGGAGATGCACTCCGCATAGAGGTCCGCCACCTCCAGGGCTTCAGGTGTTTCAAAGGCTCGGCAAGGAGCAAGATTGCTACTACGGAGACCGACATTGCTCCGAAAAAGAGCCCAACGAAATGCCGCGAACCTCCTCCTGATTCCACTCCGCAGGCACGCCCATCACCTCCCAGATGCCGTCTGGCCTCTCGCGACGATAGCCTTTCCTTGTCTGGATTGCGATCTGTGCTTCATTTACAGGAGGGTGGGCAGACGTGAAAAGGAAGGGATGGTTGTTGATGCAACGACAGGACGTCTCTGCAACTGAGCTGATGCAAGCTTCCTTGTGAAGAAATCGAAGTCGTCGAGGTACTTGATTGTGAGGGGGTGCGGGCGGCAGCGGTCCAGGTCCATAAGCTTGGGCACATGACCGTTCAGAGCCTTTGCGAAGAACTTGGTGATTGTGGCTGAATCCATAGCAGCACTCATCAGGACAATCTTGACGCGAGGATTGCGCTTGAGCACCCGGGTTACCACCAAGGTCAACAAGAAGTCGATGAAGGAGTCGCCTGAGTTTGCAACAAGGAGAGGGGACTTACGAGCAACGACACTGCTACTGGCAACTGATGAAAGGCCTTTTTGTGCAGGAAATGCGGTAGAGCTGAGTTGCGGATGTGCACCTCGTCAATAATCAGGTGCGTAAACCTCCGCAATATCATCACGTTTCTGCTACTGCGTTGCCAAATCAGATCTACCTTGCACCTGCACGAACGGCTTGCCATCCTACAAGTGCAAATAGCCAAGCGGCGTGGTGGTCTCCTGCAAGCATTGAATCATCGCGATGGCTGTGACCTCACACAGCTTGAATCGGGTCTGGGAGTCTCCGTCTCGCAGTTTCCTCCGAAGGTCTACATTGCACCGAGTCCCAAACCCCTCAACCACATGCTGCTATCAAGCCCTGCCGTTTGGCTTTCGCTTCTCGCTGTAGCTGTGACCATCTCTGGTCGACTCTAGCCAAGCAGCAGCAAAGACCAGGCGAGTGCGCCCAGAACGGCTCACCTCGCTGCAACCTGCACAGAGACGCTGCCGATCAGAAGTCTGGTCCATCGGCGGGCTCGCCGAATATTCTATGTATCTGCAGAACTTTAGAACTCCCTCAACTCATCTCCGCTCACCGAAGCCCAGTGTGTGATCATGCTGTGCTGTGACAAAGAACTGACCTTTGACATCCGTCGACCACTGTGCAGTCGCCGTCATTCTGATTGCTGAAACATACTGAAACGGAATCCGAAGCCCAGCCTCCAATTTGGAAGCCCACTTCTCCCCCTGGAGCTTCTCCGCGCAGTGCAGCTACACGACCTTGTCACTCGGAGCGAGCCTTCCTGCTGCTTTGGATCAAGCGTCCCATGTACATTTGGGATTTTTAGATGCAGATAAACAGATGAACCTGAGACCAGCAACGTGCCAAACTTGTTGCCGCCACTCGCCGCGGCTGTGTGCAAAGAATTCCTGACAGCGGATGAAGGCAGCAAAGCTCCTTTGTACTAGGCATGACATGCCACATGAAACCACATTTCGAGCTTTCGGAGGTTGTCCGTGTGGACTATACACCTCTTAGTGTCATTATTCATCATGTCATCTCGGCCGAACTTGCAGCAAAGTGCCGTACATCCTAACAGTGGCTGCCGGTCTGCCGAGACACGCCGGTCGACATCAGAGTCCACGGCATCCAAAATCATCTGGGGGATTCCTGCACTGGCGCAGGAATCGGCTGCAGCACTGCAGCGGGCAGGCACTCGCAGCCGCCGAAGCCGTCCTGTGCTCTTTCCGCAGCCAGTGGGAGCTACGATCACCGTGACACGCTCGCTGTCCACCTGGGCCAGGATCCTCGGCGGGTGCTCGCTTCGTCAGTTCCAGAGGGATTTCAAATGGCCGGTCTGCAGAACCTCCAAGGGGTCAGAAAAACAGGGGTCAGTTTAAGTCCAAAGCTGCTGCAAGAACCTTAACGGTGCCAATTGCCTGGGAAGGAAAGAAATTCAGTCCAGTCTGCTTAACCCCACAACCTTGTTTTCATCCAACAGCAACATCAGGAATGCTCTTTTTCTGCTGTCTCGGTGACTTTGGAGTTATCGGCACCGGGCTTCGACGGCTTTGAATGAGGATAATAAGACACAGAGGGTAGCTCAAGGCCGTTTTGAAGTGACAGCTAAACCACGCAGCATGTCGGAGCCATGGATCTCATCCCGCACTTGATCCAGCACGGAACCAGTGTCCTCAGGAGAAGAAAGCTCCGCGATCAATTTGCAATTGAAATCTACTACTCGTTCAGCCTCCAGAGGCAAAAGCAGCCATGAATGCGCAAATAAAAGAAGAGCTGCTCGCACAGGCAACCAGGCAGCGCATTGAGAACCACCCCGATTCGCTCTGCACGAAAGTAAACTACATGGATGGTTCCTTAAATTTGGGTTCCTTGTAGGACCGTGGCAGCGTATACAGGAATCCTAATCTAGTAGAGAATCCTACGTGTCAGGTTATCGTTCAGACCCCGAGCCCGCAAACTTCAAGCCCGGGCACTCGGGGTCGTTTGGGTGCCTTCGGCACCTCCGGCGCTTGCGCAGCCTTTCAGGAAAAGTCCATTACGGCTTTAAGTTCGATTTCCCGCTGCCGATATTTGTCAGAGTTTTGAGGCTCGACCCAAACACTGTCTGGCTGAGTTGGGATCGCCGACGGTGCAAACTTGGGGGCGGAAAGGTGGGTTCATGATACTGATTCCAAAATAAGTGCCCGCATTTGGCTTTCCCATTTCCCCATCCTGAAAATCTATTTGAAGTGAAGTGCATTGCAGCATATTATGCTTACAAGAACTCCACCAGACTGGCTTTCGGGGCTCATAGGACACGTCTCGTCGCCAAAATCTCACTCCCGAGGCGCCTCCGACGTCTCTGCAGAGCTGCCACCATGCGAGGGTGCCGGGTAGAGCACGAGGTGGAGGGTCTTCGGGGTCTTCGGGGAAACCTTGGAGATTCCAGCAGAACTTGGCTTGGACGTTGGGGAGTGTTGGGTATGTGTGGAGGGCAGCCCTTCATCGCTTGATGCATCTTGCTCAACAGCTTCATCGACTCTTGCCGAATGCACATGTGCCAAGAACCTCCTTCTGCGAGTCAGGGCTGCCATCGGCCTCAGACATTCAGGGGCCGTTACGGGCACATCTAAAGGGCCGCCCCTTTCTATGCTGAAGCCGCTTCACTGAACTCCCGTCTCGAGCCTCCATGTGGCGGGCGTCCACCGTGCCAATGGTGCCCATGCCCCCAGTTGTTGCAGGATCTCTTGCTTCGGCAGTTCCGCTTGGCATTGCCTGATAGAGTCTCATTCCAATGTCAATGTCTTGTTACCGCAGTGTTTCTAGCACTGCTGTCACCTTGCTTCGGAGGCCACGTCAAACAAAGCAACTGGAAGCCCTACGTGGACCCCCGATTTCGGCAGCGCCGACTGTGCATGCATCCAGTATCCGCCTTTCACGTGCTTCCCTTACACGCCTGGAACAATCTGCGAGCTTTGTCACGTCGACTTCATGGGATTTCACATGTCCACTCACAGCTAGAATGGTCTCTGTTTGTCGTTGCACCGCTTGTCTCTCGACAAGCTCTGCCTCCTCAGGTGCACTTCGCAAGGGCTCGGCTGGAGTTTGCAACCAGCGACGACCTTGGACCCCGGTGGCTTCAATGTCAGCTCTGCCAACTCTGCCGGGCACTACGCACAAGCGGATGGTTGAAGAATGCTATCTGCAAGCTACACAAGCGGCAGGCATCCTTCACCTTCGTAGGCAAACTCTGAGGCACCCCGAAGAAAGTGCAACTCAGAAGTCCCACAAAACATACACCCCGAACTTCACGGAGCTCGATCCACTGCAGCTTGCCGGCGCTCCATCACCGTCCCGATGAACGACATGAGATCTGCCAACTCCACCTGAGCAGTGTTGCAAGAGATAGAGATTGCACAAGCAATCACCTGAAGTGAGCCGTATACCCCACTTCCCCGCTCAGGTATCCTTGCCTTGGCTCGAGTTCTTCCATGGAGGAAGGTTCCTCCATCTCTAGCCTCACCACTGAACCTGAAACGCCGGGCATACCCTTTGCACAGCCACCGGCAACGGGTTGTTGATATCCTCCGGCCACGGAACATAATCCTGAGAAGTAGGGGCGGTTAGAAACCTTCAACAGTCAGCGTGAAAATGGAGCACATGTATAGGGACATGTTGCATTCTTGAAATTCGCACTGGCGAGTTGCCAAATCTGCCACAGCCGGGCACTCGGAGAAAGTGTGATGCAACCGGACCTTAGCGATCTGACCATGCACGACAGCCCGGAGCTTCAAATAGAGTGCGCTCCCATCCTAACGGTCCTAGCCTTAAAAACCCTCAACCCCTAAACCCTAAACTCCGAACCCTAACCCCTTTCTAGAACCCTTGAAGCAACCGCACTGCTCTTTCTGCCAGAGTTACCAGCAGCTCCTCGTTGGCAAACGGTTCACCGCAGGCCCGACAAGCCGGGCCGGCCACAAGCCTTCCCAGAGAGCCGAATGCCCTTAAATCATGAATATGCATGAATATGCCTTACACTATAAGTTTTTTTGGGGGTTATACAGAATACACGCATTCCATGATTTAGGGCACTTTCCTAAATGAAAGCTTTCTGGTCAGAGAAAACAAACGCAAGGGCTTGTCATGTTGTACTTGCTGATATTCAAGCTTATTGTTCTACAGATTTCAGCTAGCGAGGAGGCCCGTTTTCAAGGGTCATCCAATATCCACATTGGCGCATAGATGAATCTTTGATGGGTTCCGGAGCGCGTTGGGATCTGCAGTGTCAAAGAGCTCAATGGCCAGGCCCGTGCAATTGGAAGCTTTGCAGCCAGACTGTGTTTTTGTTTTGGGAGGGGGGGGCAAGGATCGGGGCCTGGAGTCCAGAGCGCTAAAACTGACGCGAGAACCCGAGAAGCATCCTCCGGAGCAAATTGTTGTAAACTTTCAGACTCGAGCACGAAAACTTCGCAGGGCCTTCAAAAAAGGAAAAGCGCTTCTGTCTCGTCCCAGGATTCCTGCGGCCCGAAAAAGCACTTGCATAGTGAATCCAAGCAGCTCTTTGAGCAGATCTTGCCACATGGCCTCACGGCACTTTCGGGTACAATGGGTGGCCCCCACGTGCGTTACATGCGCAGAACTGCTGCTCTCATGCTCCAGGAACATCTTCGGCTTCGCTATGCTTCGCTTGGCAACCCGACGAGTAGGTCGAACTTGTTTGCTATGAGCCGAGACCGGCTAGACCCCGGACAGAGCTCATGCAGCTGTGTTTGGCCTGACAATCTTCGTACCACATCACAGCCGCAATCAGCAGCCTGTCCTTTTTGGCGCATACTATAGTATCAGAGATATAAAGCGTAAGCAGTTGCACAGGGTGCAAGCCTTCCTGTCGTATTTTGGATTTTGTATACACACAAGACATACGACATGCAGATGTAGCGGTATAGATACCGAAGGAGGATTTATCGAACACTGCATCTTTCTGGCCAGAGCTCGAAATGCCGAAGTCTTGCTTTGCATCGGGAACCTTTCGAGGCACCAGCCCAGTCCTCCAGGACGTCGATGCTCGCTCCTTCGGCACGACAGTAGGCTGGGATCAGCCTGGCGCTGCCTCGGTCAGGTTGCAGTTATCAGAACCTCTGGCCCCCTTGGATGTATCCCGTGTCTGTGTGTACCGCACATACCGCATTGTTCCACCCTGTCTGACGGGCGGCAGAACTCCTCGAAGGATCTGTCCGCCGAGTCGAAGAAGAAGTCCCAAGGCTTCACGCCACCCGAGAAGTGCAACACCTGCGGGGAGCAAAGCTCAGCCGGGACTGGAGTCAAAAGGAATCTTAAATTAAAGAGTCTAGACTGGTCCTTCACCAAAACGTGACATATCTGATGCACAGGCCTTGATGCTGCCCAAATCCCGAGTGAGCCGATCTGCGCCGGCACCCGCGTGGTCCAGGGCGTAGTGCATCTGGTGGAGCTGGTAGTTGTACCTGTTCGAAGGTCAGGGGTTTCCGGACCTAGACCTAGATTTGGAACCTGCAAATTTACGTTCAAGCGCCAGCTTACTCTCATGCCCTAATGAGGCCAAGGCGCTTGACATCCAGCACATGCCATTTGCTGCGGAACCAGCGTGTCAAGAAGTCCTGCTCCGGGCCGGTCGTGGCTTGGTGCATGGGGTCTCGCTCGCTGCGGACGCTTTCCAACCTTGGTGGCACTGGTTTCAACCCAGCGGAGCTGGGAAGCCTCTAATGCAACTCTGCACCAGCAGCCCTTTTCGAAGCTCTGCACCCGTCAAATTACATCCTCTGAAGCCTGCCGCATCTTCCTCGCGCTGTCGGGATTCCTTTTCTGACAGGCAACCTGGTTGCAATGGCACGTGCCTACAGTAGCTTCGAATCTACGGCGATCTACCGTGCATAGCATGAACGTCAGTGTAGGGCAAGAAGCATCTTCTCCAGCTCTTTCTGGCAAGGTTGCAGGACGGCGACGCCCAAGTTCATGCCATACTGCTGCTGGCCGGACTTGTTGAAGAAAGACAATCCGATTTCCACCTGGGCATGCCAGCACAAACAGAACGCTAAAGTGAACCAGAAACTCAATTAACAACCAGCCTGGAGGTACCAGGGCGATTGATGTACGTTTCCAGTCACACGATCGGGAAACGCCTTCTAGATGCGAACAAGTTCGTTCTAAACATTTCTAAACGATGCCACAACCTTAGGCAAGTACGAGACTGTACCAACATCCATCATCATCGTTGCTATTTCGTCGCTCCTGTACTGAGACCGATCATAACTGGCATCTGCAATCGTTCGCACATTCTGGTCGTCTCGCGAACTGCAATATAATGCGCAGCAGGAGCCTGATCTGTGCGCGTCTCCGCAACACTCGTTCACGATCAGGTCTGTTGCATCCACCCTTTTGGGCGAGGCACGCCCGGCGGTAGTTCCTTGTGTCCACGGCGAAGGGCCGCTGGCGGTGTAAAGTCCTCCGAACATGGCAGGGCCACTGAAACTGAAACAGAACTCCTCTGTCTAATTCCGTATACACGGCAGTACTGACTCACGGACTGGAGAGATCTCTGGAGAGACTGGAGACACTCCGACCTTGAGCTCGTCCACGTTGTCGGTGACGAGGAGGTCCAGGTCCAAGAGGATCACTCGCTGGTACTCCGTGCAGCCGAACACATGCCTGGCCCAGCATGCCCAGCCCCCAACGCCCTGAACAGCAAGTCTGAACAAAAACTCACCGAAGGGGAAGGGGGGGGGGCCAAAGCTAGGCCGCGGCCGAGTTGCAGTTTGGTGAACACGTGCTTGAAGCGGTCCTCACTCCTTGCAATCAGCTTCTGCGCCGCTTCGACGTACTCCACCTGAGGCGCTTGTCACGAAGGAGCTCGCTTGCCTTCGTCACCATGCTTCGCCCTCGCCAATTAAGCATTTAAAAGCTTCTTCATCCGCAGAAAGGTCGCAAACGCCGTTCCCTTCGAGCCTCATGCAGTTTCCAGTATATCTCCAGAGCACCAGCACCTGCTGCATCCAGCACATCCGGCGTGTGCCTGTGCTCATCAGGATAACACTTGCATGACCACTACGGTCTTCAAGCGAACGGTCTCAATTTGAGATGCGGGTTGGGCTACTACTCCGCACGAAATCGCGACAGGCTCCAGACTCTGCGATATGAGGAACAACAGAAAAGCAACATCTGCATGTCCAATGTCTGTGCGGTACCAGCACGGCTATGCTATGAGCCGAACCATATGCGAGGGATGCAAATCCTGGATGCTGCGCAAGAGTAGCCCAAAACCGAAAACCACACTATAGGACTCGAAGATGCAGAGGAACCGGAAGATGTCTGCAGTGCGTGCTTGCGGTCGCGCAGGGTTATACTATAAAAAGGTTTCATGCCGTGTCGATGGTAGTGCCGGGAAACAGGAGGAACCTCGGAAGTTGTCTCCACGCCGATGGACGAGTGCAGGAGACTATTCAGACCCGGGTACGGAGAACATGAAAACCAGTCATCAAGCAAGCTGCAGCAGCACACAGTCGTGGCGGGTGCCGGACTTCTTCAGAGAGAAGCCTGCAACAAAAAAATGCGGTCTCTCGGATACACTGTGCTACGGTATATAATTCATGTGGAACGAACTCATCGGCGACTCCTGCAATCCTCTACCTACAATGAAGGAAGATGGAAGCTATTCGGCACGTGCAGTCAAGCAGCCCAGGACCATGGCACCCAGAATGAACCGCTGCAGCGTATCCTCATTCGGCAACGAGGTTTGGTGCAGGCTGCGAGGTGAAGTCACCCACGGCAAGTCTAGCACCGACCCAGTAGCTCAACCACACCCACACACCTTTCACGCACTAGAGCGACTGGCCTTATCCGGACCGAAGAGGACAGCGACGTAGGCGCACTTCTTCGTGGGCTTGTGCTTCGTTCTTTGCGCCGGCGGCAAATGTGCCGGGGAGGTGCCGTCCACGGCGCTGTCTGCCAGCAACTCCAGTGGCTTGCCACCTTCACGGATGCGCCCAGAAGTACAGAAGAAGTCGAAGCGATGCCCATCCCAACGTGGCACAATGGGAATCAAGTACCAAGTCTATGCCCGGAGCTCCCTCAAAACCCCCATACTTCCGCAATGCAGTCACATGTTGCGGCGAGGAACAAGTGGGGCAGAAGAAACGATGCTTTGTATGGTTCCGCGCCGGTGAAAGCCAAACCACCTTCAGATGAGCCAGGGTCGGGGCTCCGGGAGTCAGACGCTCTGTTGACATGCGAGGGATCTGCCTCTGAAGAATGAATAAGCTGTGAGGATTTCGTACTTTGGTATGTGTGCATGTACATATTTACCCATATATTCATATGCCTTTGCATTTCCCTTGACGTACACAGGTGTGTGTGTGTGTGTGCTGAAGCTTACTTATTTGCTCATGCCAGAACTCACTCTACCTACCTGCATGACTGTGTGCCGCTCTATCTACCCATGGTCTTCACGGTACAGTACCTGTATTCTCTGCGCAGACAAGAATGCGTGGTGTTTGTCAGCACTGACCTGTACCTCCTGTTGCTTGCTGTGCCACCGGCTTCTCGGCACGGCCAGCCGGTGTCTCGTAGCCTGTGATCTGCACCTCAGAGCCAGGATATGGAGTGACCCAGATGGGGTTGGAGCACCTGCCGAAACCCGAAAGCCCTCGCGCAACAGCAGGGTGGCCCGAGGAAGCGTTACGGAGCTGAATCTTTACGTGTGCTTGTGTCAGACGCGGGCATGCCGATTACCATATTTGGCAACAACCTCCGAAAAACGGTGCAAGGGCCATTTTGCGACAGAAGCGTGCCTATAATGACAATACATTGCCTTTGCCGTTCAACCTATGTGGGCAGGCGTTCAGGACACCCAACCCAGATTCAGATGATTCAGCTTTGCCGCTCTCCCGGCTCCTAGTAGTTTAGCTTGCTCTCCAAGGCGCATTCCACGTGCCTGCTTCTACCTGCATCGGGATGAGCTTGAGTAAGTGTCAAGGCCATGAACACACAGAACTTGAGGAGAGCATCTTGCGCTCCGTCGCACGACTTGCGAGTGACGAAAGAAGGCCGAACATGTTTTTTCGCAACAGTAACAGGCGAGGCCTTTAGGCCGAACAACTGTAGTGGCGACCTGCATCGCCGTGTCTTGGAATGGGCATTTCACGAAGGAGCTATCGGTTACAGGCGCGGTCTGCAACTCAGACGCAGAGTAACCATTTGCAAACACCTTCTCGAATGTAGGAATAAAGCTCTCAAGCCAAACGGATGCATTGTCGGCAAACTCCTCAACGAGATGATGCAGCAGGGTCGAGAAGATGGGTTCCGCAAGCTTCTGAGTCTGGAAGGTTGATTCTTGTCCAAGCGCAACGGTAGTTCTTCAAGCCACCTACGTCCGTGTCATTCGAAGACTTCAATATGGAGACATGAGGTGGCATGTTTGGACACTGTCCGTGCCCAAACATGCCACCCCATTTCTCCATATTGAGGTCTTCGAATCCGGAAAACCCAGATGGAATTCCGCTGGTATCGACTTGAAAATCCATATACAAGCCCATCTCACAACGAAGGGCCGTCTCATCCAGACCTATGACGAACTTCCATTTCAGCTCACTCTCGTCGCACGTGTCCATGTCCTGTGAATCTGGATTCCAGTCAGGGCACACAAGCTTCTCTTGCCACCTCTGTCTTTCTGCCTTCGTGGCCTGCCTGCTTGCAGAGTGTTGGGTGGGGCGATGTCCCGGCGGATGAGGTTCGCCTCTCCCGGATTGCTGAGTTTCTTTCGCCATGTGGCCGCAGCCGGGATGCCTTCCCGCAGGATGAGGTCCGCCTCTCCTTGCATTATGTGCCATTCTGCTCCCTGGTATTTGCAAGACAATTAGTTTCATCTGCATAAAGCTAGATGTTTTTTGTTGTCCAACCTATGAAGTTCCTAACGTGGACCACCAAACTTGACATCATCCTGTCCTGACTACTTCTCCAAAGCTTGACGCACAAGCGGGTAGCCATGCAATAACCGGGTGCAACATTAGCATGCAGTCAGGAGGAGCAACAGCCGCGCACAACCAAACTGCGGCAGAACTTCAGCGACATAGCCAAGACCGTTGTTGTGGCCATCGCCATCACCGTCAGCGGGGAATTTACCCTTGTGAAGATCAGAACGTGGGATTCGCACCCCGACGCCCTTCCATTCAAGGCATCCATCACATCTACCTGTGCCGTCTTTGTATTTCATGCAATCATGCAACCCGAGCCTGAGCGGTTTTCCTGCACTGGGAACGGTGTCTCAGGAGCCCAATGCGAGCGAAACATGAGACATGCAAGCCGCCCGCACCTTGCAGTCCAAGCGAAGCGGGCACATGTTCCGGTGCGGGCACTTCGCCTGTTCGGCTCATGCGATCAAGCAAAGGCTGATAAATTCACGAGAACGTGATGGAAATGGTGTCGCTGATTTTGACGATGGTGAAGACGACGATGACGATGGAGACAGAGATGATGATGACAAGGAGGTGGATCATGATAATTGTGATGCTGGTGCTGATGTAGAAGTAGATGTTAAAGTTGAAGCTGCTGATGATGATGTTGACGCTGATGATGACCACAATGCTGATGATAGTGATGATGATGTTGATGTTTTTGATGATGACGATGTTGATATTGTTCTGGATGATGATGAGGATGATGATGATGATGGTGGTGGTGGTGGTGGACGTGAAAATAAAGAGGGCGAGGATGGTGTCGACGACATATCAGGATTCTTGGAAACAGACT